TGGAATTCCCTATATGTTTCTTCTTTGAGATATTCAGACATTTTGACCATTTTTGTTTTAGTTCTTTGCCTGTAACGTCTTCACCTTCATTTCCGGGCGAGCAACCTTTGAGGGGGTAAAGTTTCAGGTAAGGGTATTTCAGGGCCATCTTACTGCCTTGCTTTCTGATATTTCTATTGCTGTACTGCAAGTTGAAGATCTGTTAGGGAAGAGAACCTCTGTTTTTACTGTGTGGATCTTCTTAGTTAGTCTGTCTCCCTGTGATGTGTCTTTTTTTTTTTTTTTTTGCATTATGCTTTTGTATTTATATTCCTCTTCAACATACTTGGTATATTTGTGGGTCTTTATAGTGTCCAGTCTTTTGGGGATTGATCTCCAGCCACCACACAGAGAGAAGATGTACCATAACAATATTGATTACACGAAGACAGATGATATATTGTGGTGGCATGCACTAAAAAAATCAATAAATAGCAACAATTAAGCCTCTGTTTGTAGTAGCAAAGAAATGGGTCATAATAATAGAATCAAAGACAAATCAGACCTTGACATGTTATACAAACCCATAAAAACTGCAACTATACCACCCTTATCGATAGAAAATAGACTTATAATGATATAGGCAAAGACAGAACAAATGTTGAAATATGGTAAATGTCTACTAAATGCAGTAACTATACTATTGTTAACAATAAAGAGTTCAGTAAGAGCATTTAATCATTTTAATGGTTAAAAAATTATTAAACCTTAATTTTAACAGTAATGAAGATGAAGGGGTATATAGAATGGAAAAATGAAAGAAAGGGACCTTTGAGAAAGAAAGGAGAAAAAGTGAAATCTTTTGAAGAAAAGAAAGTAGGACTAAATAAAAGTAAAAAAAGAACAAAAAGAAAAGCTTAATATAAAGAGCAAAAGAAAGAAAAGGGGAATATAAATGGATCCCCCAAATCCTTTTTGGCTGAGTGGTTTTGCAGGGATCATTGTGTTAGAATCCAAATATAGGGGAAGGATAATGAGTCACAACTAGGGTCTGTTTTTTTTTTCCATGTCCACTGTGTGTGTGCGCACGTGTGCATGCGTGCCCACTTGTATGTACTGTCCACTTTTATGTACTTGTATGTACCTGCCTTTCCTGCTGTGAGGGGTCATTGAACAGTATGGTTTCTGCCCAGGGGCTGTATTCATTTTAGGGGCTTTCATGTCTATTCCCACTGTGTGCCCCATGTGTTTGTCTCTGCATGCCTCTGTAGCCTTTTAGTTTGTGATGTGTTCCTAGTTCCACTATTTTAGAAATCCTCCTGTCCATATACCCTTTGGGTGTGGTAACCACTGGAGGCTAGGCATATCCTTGATCCTATTGTCAGATGGGAAAAGCAAACAAAATAACAGGTTCTGTGCTGAATGTAGATCAGGGGCACATGAAGCAGTTTGCTGGACTTTAAATGTCATGACTTAGCCCCCTCAGAAAACCATTTGTGATCAGCTTGGCTTTTCTCTACATAGAGTGGGACCACCATTTACTTCCTGGCCTGATATCTTTGCTGCTTAAACTTACAGGGGATCTATAACTAGCCTCCCCGCTCTCTGTAGCTGCCTCTGTGGCCAACTCTCATCCACTGACTGTGGTAGGGTGACTCCATAAATCCTGAAGTGTAGCTGTTCTGTGAGTTCTGATTTCCAAAGTAGCTCAGTCTTAAGCAATTAACCCCTCGCCCAAATGTCTCCTTAATTAGTCACTCCCAAAATGGCTGCTTGGAATTGTACCTTTTCTTCAACTCTAACCTGCCATGCAGGAGTCACTTTCTGGTAAAGCCCTGCATGTATATGTAGCTTACAGTAATGGTGGGCTTTTCATGGTGCTTGCTCTGACAGTTTATTGTTTTTCCTTAGGGCTGCTAACCTTTTAGGGGTTTGTTTACTTTGTGTTTGCAGGCAGGACCTTGGGAGCCCAGAGTAGTATTCTAGACTGCTTTGTTCTTTTTATGGGTTTGTCTTCAGTTTCTCTGTAATTTCTAGTTTTCCTGTCTGCAGTTTCCTAATACCCAAAGGTCTTATTCCTTTTCTGTTTACTAAGTATTACAGGTGTCAATTCCAGTTCCAGAACAGGCTGTGATACGCTGCCATTCTTTTTTCTACCATTTTCTCTCCTTCTGGGGGGTACACAGTACTGGGAATTGAACCCCATGGGGTTTTATACTGAGTTGCACCCTAGCACACATTACTCTTTTTGAAATAGGGTCTTCTTAATTGCCCAAGCTAGGTTTTTTTTTTTTTTTTTTTTTTTTTTTTTTTTTTTTTTTTTCTTTCTTTCTTCTTTATTTCTTTCTTTCTTTCTTTTTTTCTATTTTGGTGGTACCAGGGATTAAACTCAGGACCTTGTGCTTGCCAGGCAAGCACTTATTCCACTGAGCTATCTCCCTAGCTCCCCTAGTTTGTGATCCGTGTGTCTTAGCCTCCCAGTACTGAGGATTACAGGCATATGGAATTGTGCTCTGTTTGAATGTTGTTATTGAACCATCATAAAGTTGAAAAATTGTTAAATTAAACCATTCAAAGTCTGTGACCTGTTTGTATTATAATTTAAAGTTGAGGACTTATCCTCAGGGAAAGTATTTATTGGCCCTTCCTCCCCCATTTCACATACTTTATAATTTCTTTGCATGTTTCTCACTTTTTTCTTGATAACTATATATTTTAAGTAAATGTGACAGTTGTGAAATCAGAATTGCACTCCATCCCGCACTTATTTGTCATCACTTCTAGTTTTATTCATTGTTTCATTGTTCCAAACTAATTCTGTGTTCTTCACATGTGTCTTCTGAAGTTTCTACTTAGGTAATGATTCAGCTAATGATTAGACAGATTTCTGAAACCAGTAAATCTCTCGCTCTTTGCCAAGTGACTCTGTGTTTGGGGCACACCTTCAGTGCTAAGCTAGGAAGTTTACAACAATCCCTTAACCTTCGTTTCCTGCTTGGGCATAGCTTCAAGATCAGATAGAAGTAAGAACTAAAGTATTTTTAGGTTTTCCTCAAGCATTGCATAACTCTGTGTATGTATGATGTTCTCAATTGCCAGAAATACGACAAATATTTTCAGAGTTCCTATAGACACATCATTCCCAAGCTTTGAATTTTAAGCTTTTTGGTTTAATCTCTCATTTGTCTCAACTATTCAATCACTCACATTGCCGCAGTTTAAACATTTGCCTGTGGTGGTTTCCTTGAACATTCCTTCAGCCTCCTGCTTCAAGAAGAACTCTTTCAGCACTGGACAAGAGTTAAAAGAGTCATCTCCTATATCAGATAATAATTACTGTCTGGGAATGAGGCTTTGGAGGAGTTTCAGCTTGGTTTTTGTTGTTTCTCATGCTTCAAAGCTGACCTGGCAATGTGAGATCAGAAGTAAAAATGCTACAAATCATTATTCTTAATAAGAATCTATGCTTTTTCTTAAATCCTTCCTGGTGTTTGAGAGCTCTTATATATAGTTACGCATTACTTTAATACAGTGATATATTTTGAGAAATTTTTTTTAGGACAGTTTCAATAATTAATACATTGCATATTGTTGTCTTTGTAGTGGTTATTCATAGTACAAGATGCAGACCTGATATCCTGTCCAAACACTTAGTACAAATCTTTCTCGTGATTGAATTAAGAGAAAGTAGTTGTATATCTATCCTATTTTGTATATATAGATACAAAATGGTCCTTCGTGTCCTTTTTTTGTTTAGTTTTGTCAGAGATGGTATTCCATTGGCATATAAATATTGTAGGTGCATGAATTCAGCAAAATAATCCAATATAGTCCAGTAGTCCATAGTAGTAATGGGTTATCCGTAGGACTAGGCAATGTCAAAAGTTGTTGAGAGAAATGTGTTGTTATACAGCTTCATCATTATGTGAACATGAAAGAATGTATTTATGCAACCCTGAGTAATGTAGATCAGTCACTAGTCACTCCATATGGTCTCAATATAATCAAGAGGCATAGTAAACATGAGATATGTAAAGCTACTGTTGATTTAACAGGGCATAATATTTTTAAGTATGTTCTGAGATAGTAATAAAGAGTATAGGATAGTAAATACGAAAACCAGTAATATACTTGTTTATTATCAAGTGTTGTGTCCTGTATGTAATGGTATATGTTGCATACTTTTAACACAAGTTTCAATTGTCATTTTGTCTGCTGTGTGTAAGTTGGCGCCATGGTAGGTTTGTATACCCAACATTACTACAAATAGTTGAATAATACTTTTAAGGTCTTTTTAATCTCATGGGACTGTCATTATATGCTCATTTTGTGGTTGATCAAATGTCATGCCTTCATGACAGGTCTTTACTATCCTATTTTTGTTGATTTTTTAAAATCCATTTCCTTTTGAATAGGCTTGAGTAATTTCTGTCTTTCAAGGAATTTGCCCATTTTTTTCTAAGCTGTTGAATTTATGAACATAGAATTGTTATTTTCTTCCCACAATTCACTAACTCAATTGGCAATAGGTTTTGTTTTTGCTTGAGATACTTTGCTTTTCTTATGTTCTAATGTTCTAAGATGACCTCTTTGTTATGATATCACATATTTGTTCTTGTTCAAGGTATTTGCCTTTCAGTTAGAATCTTAGTTCAAAGATTAATATCAAACCTATAAGGTTGCTTCAGAATTGACTAAGATTACTGCATATGTATTTGTGTGTGTGTGTGTGTGTGTGTGTTAGAGAGAGAGAGAGAGAGGAGAGAGAGAGAGAGAGAGAGAGTGGGGAAGGAGAGAGGAGCCCATATTCTAGGCTAATAATATAAATAATTAAATCTGGGGGGAAATTTGAAGTTATTTATGTCTATCTTAAGGTATATTTCTTTAATTCATAAAATATCTTTAAATATCAGTAATAGATTAAATGCAGTAGAATCAATTTAGAAAATTATTTTGTTTCATAGTATACATTTCTGTCTTCTCTTTCAATTATGTCTTATTGGTTTTATTTTATCTTTTAGGCAATCCTTTGTCACAGGATATTCTCAATTTGTACCAGGACCCAGATGGAACCCGAAAGCTACTGAATTTCATGCTTGACAATCTTGCAGGTAACTAGTAATGACAAAACAGTAAACTCTACACATACTATTATTGGCTAATATGTCATGGATTGCTTTGTACCTGCTTATAGGTTCAGTATTTTTGCTTTTAGTATATCTCATGATAGTAGAACATTCTTTCATGTATTGTATGCTTTCTGTTTTCTAAACGATATATTCTGAGGTTTAGTTACATTATCTTGTTCAGTTTTTCTAAGAACTGAAGCTGTATAGATTTGTATTCACATTTTACAGATGCAAATTTGGAGATTCACAGAGTAATCATTTATATACAGCTAATTAATGCCAGAGCTATGAATCCAAAATTGTCTTGTGGTTGTTCACAAAGATGTATAGTTATTTTCTGTTTGATTTTGGTGCAGATTATGATTTTGGTTGATTGTATATAGGCTGGTGTTGGTAGATTAGGTGTATGAAATGTATTTTTTTATGAAATGTATTTTTGACTTGAGATATTATCAGCTTCATAATAATCAGTACATAACTGCATTGTAAATCAAGAAGCATCTGTAGTGTGGTGCATTGTACATTTGTGGAAATTTTGCAAGTTTGCTTTTTAATTAAGAATGTCAGAGTTACGGGACTGAAATGGTCCTGTTCCAAATGCAAGTTGCCTTATATAAGAAGCCTATTAAGTATTTTACCATAAACATTTTTTGTTATGGTTTCTTAAGCACTTAAAATATACATAAAGGATAGATATATAGTTGCATTCTCTTAATGAATAGAATGATTTTTTCTAATGGTGTTTGTAAGTAGGATCACAAGTCTGCATCTTGTACAGCAATTAACCATTAAGAAGAATATATGCAGTGTATTATTTGTTGAAACTGTACTTTCGATTTGATTTGAAACTGTCTCATTGCTATATGTTTATCAATAAAACTTTGAAAAGAAAAAAAAATAAAATAAAATATACATAAAAGTGTGGAGGAGATAATGCTGAATTCATATATTTTTGTTGGTATAATGTCTATCTAAGATACGATATTAGGAAAGAGGTTGGTTTCATGTTTCTATAAAGGGGTCCTTGTCACAGTGTTTTGGCTATACTCTGTATTTCCTTCTGTCATGAAAGATACTTTCTCTACCATATAAAAAAGCAAGGTGTACAATAAGAAATGAACGTTTAATAGCATCTAAAATGTTTTTTTGGTTAAAAGACTTAAGTGGTTTTTTTTTTGTTGTTGTTGTTGGACCCTGCATTTGACAGGCAGGCGCTTATTCTACTGAGCTATCTCCCTGGCCCTGTAAATTTATTACAGAGGTCTTTTAGTAAAGAATTAGGAATCGGTGAAGGTTTCATTTGTATATATAATATGTGTGTGCTATTTCCAGTTAGCATTAAAATATCTCTTATCTGTATAAATATAGCATTTAAATAAACTGTAAGTTTTAAGGAATTCTTCATGTAATTTAGATATATAAGATCTTCAATAGTATGCATATTGCACATATCTTGTCTTGCGGGGTTTTTTTTTTTTTTTGTATGTGTGTGTGTGTCTTTCAATGAACAGAAGAAATTTTATTGCAATTAATGATACTCTAAGAGATTTTGTGTACCACATTAATGTGTCATATGTCATCACATAGAAACTCTTATTAATTTTTACTTTACAATACTTAGAGCTATAACCTTCCTGGAATTGATATGTGTTTAAAGTAAGATGGAGGTCATGAAGATGGCTCAGTAGAATAAGTGCTTGCCTGGTAAGCACAAGGGCCTGAGTTTAATCTCCAGTTCCGCAAAACAGTCAAGAGATTTAATGACTTTTCCATATACATATTATATTAATCCTGAATCATTTACTGGTGAGACTTTTCTTTTTGTGGTTCTGGATATTGAACCCAGTGAGTGCTGAATTATATTACCAGCCCCTTTGTTTTATTTTGAAACAAAGTTTTGCTTAGTTGTCCAGTGTGGCCTTGAATTTTATGATTTTCCTGTCTAAACTTCCTAAGTAGTTGGGATTACACATTTGCACCACCATGCCTAGTTTATTCTGCTTTTTTAGTGCTTTCTTTGTCATAAACCAGGTTTCACTGTATGGGTAGGTCTGTTTCTGAATACTCTTTGTTATCTTTCATTAGGTTTTCTTTTCTTTCTTTCTTTCTTT